GGAATCCAAACACCATAACGTGGATGAGCAATTAGCATGGTTCACGGACGTGCTGAGCCAAATCAAAATATCAGTCACGAGCAGCCAGGGTACAGCTGAGGTATGTTCTTGTACAAGCACTTTTGACTTCAGCCTTAGACAAGGTTAAAACATGATATAATTATTTGATTGTTAATTATTTTGCTAACAAAATTGTACAAATAAGTACGATTCTAAGACATRAATAATTGTCTTTACCAGACATTGAGGCGTGGTCTAGCCCTTATGTCTGGCATTGGAATCAGCTTCTCGCGAAGTCATGGAATATTTAACATTGAAAGTCATTCAACAAGCAAATCATCGCCTGACGTCACATGTGATGATCAAGTCGTTATCGAGAGAAACGTGAAGGCTCTTGTGCGYCAATTTCCCTGTAGCATRGTTGACTTRATGYACATGGACCATTGGACACATGTTATTGATAAGGTACGATGGCTTCTTCTTGTCTACCACTGTCTCTTTTTATCATTAATTGGTTAATTTGTTGAAGCTTCTAGTGACCAATCTTCTCATTATAYTATTCTCTGATCAAAGCTTCTAGAATGGTTGTTTGTTGTCCACAAGTCTCCTGTTGTGCAAGAAAGTAGCAGCCTAAAAGTCGTCCTTGAAGGTTAAAAATTACRTTGAATTTTCTATTCCTAATGATACGATTCATGCCATTTGCTATAAACTGACGTTATTTCCTGTGTTTTCTAGAATGCATCGTTGCTTTCAAAGACTCCGAACCATTCAAAAAGATGTCAACTTGGACGGAAGCCTTATCAAGAACCGAAAGAACTTTCAATTGTTAGACAGTGATGACGTATAGCGTAGATAAGGTATGATAGATCAAACAACTGTACTGTACCTACGCTAGATAGATATAGAATAGTTGATAAAAAACTGTGGACAATTTACCATCACTGAAGTAGCCACTTTGTCTCGCCAGCTTTTTAAAAGAAATACTGGGACAGTTAAACGAAGTAACTTTATACGGGCACTTGGTACTCAGTCGATTAAAGGAGTCTTTGTTGACTATAAAACTAAATATTTATAAAGTAGAAGTTGATTTAGCAACCGAAAGATCAACAACAAAATCATAAGATTGTCAATTTATTCGCTGTCTGTCGAGGTAATAAACCAGTTTTTTATGAAAGGTTTTSMAGTCATATTTAGCGAAATACTGGACTGTCGGCATGTTCTTCTTCAACAGCTTTGGGAAGTCTGAGATATCTGATGAATTCAAGAAATCGAATTARCTGCAAAGCATACTATATCTATTTCACGAAAAATGATAAAAATGAAATCAAATATTGTAATATGTATGCAACACCATGCGATCAGAAGTTAAACGCCGTCATGCAATCATATGGATTTGCATCCCGGCAGAAGATTTTGTCGCTATTATGGTTATAAATATTACGTTCAGCTGTGGTTCTGAAGCAGCCAGTAACAAAATAAGGTCCAGAAGAGGGSAAAGCTGAGCAAGATCTTCAGTTATGGGAGAATGAGGTGTCATGATGGTGAAATTTACCTGCAATCCTTCAGCTTTTGAAATTCGTCTTTAGTCATTTCCATTTGAGGAGGAGTTGGCCATGGGTATCTAGGCAACGTCTCGTCCAACCGTTGATAAACACTTAATAAATGACGTAAGTTGCTAAGAAGCGTCAAATGATGACTGTCTGGCTCATGTTGTTTTTCYAGCATCTCTGCAATGTGGGTGTGTGCRCCAATAGGGATATGCGCAATTTGACGTGTTCCCATGTGGTCGTATTTATGTATGTAGTAACCATGGAAATGACGTTTGTCATGGTGATGGTGGTCGTCATGGCGATGGTTGTCATGTTGATCTCCATGGTGATGTCGCTTAGTAGCTGGTTTATCTGCTTCGTAAGGTAGATAGTGATGATGATTAATGATGTTATCAGGATGAATCAGTGCATGAAAAGCCTCACCCCCACCCCCACCGTTTTGCGGTAGTTTTGGTAAGTGTGAATGGTCGTGAACTGAGAACCCTTGGCTGCTTTGCATAGTGCTCTTTCTTTCAGTAGGAGGAGATGCTGGGTACATAGCTGAGTGAGTGATCTTAACTGCATTTCTCATCGTTTCAGGATCTTCTCCGGTGGAAGTACGACTTCTMAGTTCGCCTACCGAGTAATAMGAACCTCCACCAACACTRTCCATTCGTTTACGTAGACTTTCATAATCGATYGACTTTCTTCTCTGTCCTCGAGGTACTGTGTAAGGCCCTTCTTCAACGATGCTATTATCACGATTACGGAACCGTTCATCTTCCAGCAAAGTGTACCTTCGAGGACCCTTCTCGTGGTTAATAGAGCCCCGGCGGCCTTCATGSCCGTTATCCTTATATGGAATRTATCCAAAAGAGCCTTTGCGACCGGGAGGACTGGACATCCCGTTTCCTTTTTCATAACCGAAAGATCCTTTACGCCGGGGAGGACTGGACAATCCTCCTTCYTTATATGGTTGTGATGGAGTCTCTATCACGTGATGCATTTCTCGATTCAATCTCTCAAGAAAATGATGTTCATTACCGCTAGTTTCCAGGTCTCTCCCTGCTYCCTTTCTTTCATCATGTCTGCCATCATGTGGATGAAGCTTTTCAAATAATTCCCGTCTTTCSTTTRTGTGCAAATACTCAGGTCTAGCTCTATCTTCATGAAATGCTACAGGRTGCATATGATGTGTGCCTTTGTCCGGTCCTTTCTCGCAACGACAGACATCTCTACCACTRACCWGTGAACTTTTTGGTAATCGACATATAACACAGTCAGTGAAGCCTGTTGTACGATGAATAGCTGCGCCGATTTCTGTCGTTTCTGGTTGAACTTCACGGTTTCTTTCAGCGGTAATCTTTGCAACGTCATGCGCACTGGGTTTTGGAGTTGCATGAAGGGCAATGCTATCGCTGCTGCCTTGGTTTTTATATTTCTGACCAGGTTGTTTGATGTTGAGGTCGCCGCGCAGAAACTTCTCGCCATGATGCCTCATGATTAACTCATCATTATGATGATATTGTTCTTTGCTCTTCTGCAAACGAACCAGCGTGTTGACAAGGTCTTTTTCTTCTTTCCTGTAGCAGTGGCTTTGAGCATCTTTGCATGCCTCTAGAGTCTTGAGTTTTTTGTCTAAACTGACGTTATTGGCYTTGTTTGTAACGTGAAGGCCATAGAAGTTGCCCTCGGAGATGTGTCTCACATTTTTCAGCATTTTTCCCAATTTCAAAACATGTTGGGACATCTAGGACTTTTCATTTAGTTACATTTCTTTTAACAGCATAAAGATACTGCGTTAATTACTTTCGTGGCGTCTGCCACGCAAACTCGCGCGTTTGTCAACCAACGTTTGTGACGTCATGAACAGTTGACGTCACTTGCGCGTGGACTGAAATATTGTTAGCCATGACGATATCCATGACCTTGAAGTTAAAATTACTTAACAACCGGCTTTTTGTCATATATTTGGATAACGTGTCTGGAATATTTGAAAGAAAAGTATTAAACTAAACTTTCTATCGCTTCTGCCCGTAAGCTATAAATAGCAAAATAGCGATTATCAGTTTCTCATCATTACATTTTAGCCTTAAATCAAGCAAGYATCGTGCATAGCCTATCAATGTGTCATTTAGGGTGTGATAAATCGTTATATCAATACCCATTCCGTTACATTTCCGAAGCTATATGAACGCCTAAAAGCGAAAAAAAACAGTACATTAGAATTTTTTATTTTTGTTTGGGAGAAGCTTTCCGTTCTGTTATATATCAGTGTATTGTCCAGACTAATGGCTTCTCTGATCGTTTCCTAAGCTTTTAATTCAACTATTCAACGAAGCTTTTTAGGTATTCACATTTTGAGATAAAAACTTGTCCGGAAATGAGTTAAACTTTGTTCACGAAACGATCAAATCCCGCGCTCACCATACTTTGATTTGATTGGACAGGACATGTCTAGGTATGACGTAGTACACGTGATTTGTAAACACTCTAGAGGCACGCCGATTCAATATTTTTTACAAGACCTTCACACTACTCCATGAGTGAATGATAAGAAAGGGAAAATACTTCCTAGATTTCAGTATAGTATGTGATCTTAATCTATCTTAAGTGTAGTTCAACCAAAGTGTAATTTGTGGCAATTTACGTGTAATTGAAGAGGTCGTATATCATCGAGGACCACGAAATCTAAAACGACAAATTATCATCACTCTGCCGAGATTTCCCTGACATTTGACCATGACTGAACAGCTGAATGTTCGCACAAATGCAATTGAGGAATTTTATGATGTGGGYGAGCAGATTGGGAGGTAAGGTTTAAGTTTTGTGTTTGACAATTTATTTGAAATCCCAGAGTTTGATCTCCATAGCTGACCATATTCCGTTTTGTGTGCTTTATTCAGCGGACAGTTTGCAGTTGTCAAAAAGCTTCATTCAAAATCCTGTGGAAATACYTTCGCGGCAAAGTTTATGAAGAAAAGACGGTCCAAAGCGTTAAAAAGAGGAACAAGTCAAGAACAATTTCTACGCGAAGCGGACGTTCTCCGCTCGATCGAACATAAAGGAGTAATTTACCTACACGATATATTTGAGACCAAAGGAGAGTTTGTCCTTGTGCTTGAATTGTAAGTAATATCTGTATTTTGTAAGCGTTTGTTTTATTCATYATACTTGAATGTTTTGATTTAGCGGAAATTTCTTTTTTGTCAAAGCTTTTCAATTTCTTCATGTCCTCAAATACCTCTTGTTTTGAGAGAAATAAKTATTTAATCCTTCTTTTCAAATTCTAGATTATCCGGTGGTGAGTTATTCGAGTTTTTGAGTGAGCAAGAATTTTTGACCGAGGATGAAGCAGTTGGATTTTTGAAGCAAGTGATCGAGGCAATTGAATACCTTCACAAGAAAAGAATCGTTCACTTGGATATCAAGGTCTGTTTTCTTTATTTCTAATCATAACAAGTTTGGAATCCAATTTCTAGCTGTGTAAACTAGCAAAAAACATTAAACTCTAATGMCAASTCGTGACAGATTGGAGCATTTTATTTTATTTTGTTGATTTCCAAAACCCAGTCAAGTGTCAGACATTGTCATTTTGTTGAAAATTAACCGCACTCAACTGGTTTTCTGAGCATATTTGATTCTCTGTGATTATTATTTTATCAATTTACATAACATTGCGATAACATGTGTTTACATTATAAACTCGGMTACAAACCGCAATTCTAACAAGYCTTCATTAGGGTGCACGGACTCATGTACTACTGTCTTGTTCAGTTTCGCATGTAATTGAACTTGGTTTTTATACTCGTTTTTCACATGAATGAGTGTGCGGTCGACACTCTGTCTTATCGAKATAAATATTTTATTGCCTTTTAGCTCCGCAAGATAAAAATGATRATTRCTGAATCAGAATCGCAAAGAAATGCCTTAAAATCTTAATGAAATTCTTTGAAATAGTTGAGATATTTTGCTTAGACATTTATAGAATGGTTGAATTGATGTCAAGACAATTATCGGCACTGTGTTTACATACATGGAATCAAAGGATTGTATTTCTATTGTTATTAATCTGCATTTACCATCTCCCAGCCTTGTAGGCCTCGCAGTAAGCCTTTTAATTATCTCCATTAGTTRTAACATACTTAATTTAATATCAATTGAAACGATCCTTTTAAGGTAACTCAACKTGAGAGAATTACAATCGTACTGATATTGTGTTGTTCCTGTCTTCTGTTTTGAATAACTTTGCAAGGTTTATATTATTGCTTTATTTTGTCATTCATGACAGATTGTCAAAGGTRCATTTGTAGCCTTTATTTTTACATCATTTATGTATAAAAACTAAGATTTATATATGTTTAATATACTAGGTGCATCTGCTAAACAAACAAGCTGCCCATCACTAGTAGAAATGACACTTAAATAGCAGTGGGTTASAAAGCCTGATTCTATTAACTTTTCTCCAGACATTCTGTCTGACTCTTTTGTACACCTGTGCTTGTGTATCATAAATGGCAGGGCTAAATGCTCATTTGAATATGACAGCAAACAATCCAAAATATGTACAATGCATTTAAGATCACCACCATGTTKGAAGACCATGGTAAAATTAAGTGAACTAATAGATTCCCTTGAAGTCTTTTTTTAAGTAAATTATTAATGGTAATACAACACAGACAATATGCCATTACTTGCATTGAGAGGGCCTAGATACAAATTTGCCAAATGACATGTGCTTCATGATGTTAAGATAAGACTTGCATAGAAAATGTTAAAAATACTGAAATCACAGTTTAATCAGATCAATAAAAATAATAAATTATTACAAACAAAATATTGATTATTATCAATTCAGTAAGTCTAGGATTGCCAAAATAGATGTATAGGTTCAGACCAGCTGTTTTTTTTGTATTATACATGTAAACTTCACTTGTTTCATTCATGGTTACTGTCAAGCATTAATCCACATTTAAATCTGTCACTGTAAGTGATGCATTATATATATTGTCAATAGATTAAGATAAAATAATAAATACTGCCCGATTAAAATATTCATATACATGGGTAAATTAATATAGAGAATAAAACTTTCAAAAAAAAAAACTTCTGAATAGAAGAAATGTTTTTAATTTAGCTTTCAATATACACTCAGTACACTCTGTTCTTGATTGATTTAGATTAAGCTTTTAGTGTATTAATGTAATCAATCATGCATTTTGCAAAATGCTTGTCACACTTGGCATATCTTTGTTGTTCTGACTGTAGGAATTTTATGATATTGTATTGCTATATCTACTATTAAGCCAATATAATAGATTTGATATTCACATGAAAGAATAGTATTGTTATGTCAGATTCACTCCATATAATATGATATAAAAAAGTATGACTGAGTGAATTATCTAGGAATATATAAAATTAGCTATACACATTTGCCTTAAAAAAATAAAGTAAAAATCTGAAAAAAATTTTTTTTTTCAGTTTTTTAAATTTTTTATTGTCATTAACTTCACAGCCAGAAAATATTGTCTTAAAAGAAGAAAAATCCTCTCAAATCAAGCTCATAGATTTTGGTTTGGCAAGAAAGCTAAGTGAGGGGGAGATGGTTAGAGAGATTATGGGAACTCCTGAATTTGTTGGTATGTATTGCCAGACTCACATTAGGAAATTGACAGTCATTTCGTAGCTAACCTCACTTCTTCATTGGTGTGTTTAAAATTGCTGCAGCTCCTGAAATCATTGCATTTGAAGCAGTTGGAACAGAGACTGACATGTGGTAAGAAAAGCTTGAATGTTCTGTTAAATAATAGTTGTATTTCATATCTATTATCTGCATGTAGTTATATTCACATAGCTCGTTTTCCATTACCAGGGCTATTGGAGTTTTGACATACATAATGTAAGTCTTTCAAAAATATATTCACTGTTTTTAAATGTGTTTTTCATTCAAGTCAGTATAAAGTTAACCATTCCTGTACATGCGTTTCAGGCTCAGCGGTGCTTCRCCATTCCTGGGTGATGACGTCAATGAAACTTTCAGTAATATTTCTATGGTTGACTATGAGTTTGATGACGAATATTTCAAGGATATCAGTGAACCTGCTAAGGACTTTATATCTACTTTACTTGTCAAAGATAAAAGGTAAGAAAAAGGATCTAATAATAATAATAATACTGATAATACTGTTTTTTTATTAAGGCCACTAGCAGTAATGATGATACTGAATTACAGGCTTGGTAAATAATTGGAAAAGGACAAAAACACTTACATTTGGAATATAATGTTAAGGAGGAATATTTGTTTACTGTCTAAGGGTAGGGTAGGGAGGAATAATTTGTGTACTGACAAGGAGGAGGGTTTTAGATTTGTTATGTGATCTCTTCGGTAGCTGATATCTGTATCGTTTTGATATGTTAGTGAAAGAATGAGTGCCGAGGAATGCTTACAGCATGAATGGATGCAAGACTTGGACGATCAAGAGTCACCCAATACCAGTGAAGATGACGATATCTGCGATAGTTTTATCCCACAGACGCCTATTAAACAAAAGGTATGTCATGCTAATTTGGGNTTCATGATGAAACTTCACAAACAACTTCCATATTGATGTCGGCCAAATTGCATCAGGTAATTAATACAACTTCTGACAATGTAAATCTTGGATTTCAACTCGCTTCGTTTATAAATTACCAAGAAATTTCTGTTTGCTTGTCATCTATACAAAAACATGCCATCTAACGTGAATCGCATAATCTCAGACCCATTAGATCTTGATCATTTCAGTCTTTATAAATTTTAACATGTTTATCCAGTTTCATGACTCCCTGTGACAAAATAAACCAGATATGGATGTCTGTTTTGATCTCACTGTTGAGAAATTTGACTTTTCATGATATGGTGTGGTTTCATGAAATGTTCAGCCGTTCGTGTCCTGTGTGGAAGATCCCTTCTCATTTCCAAATAAGACATTATTTTCGCTTAAAAACAAGCACGTTGTAAACAAAATATCCCATTCTTTCCCTATTCTTGATAGAATTTTCTCAAATATCTTTTGATCTTGAACAAGAAGTGAGGCATTTTCAAGAGTCTTTCATTCCCGCCTTTTTATGAAAAACGTCAACTTTCATGCGTTGCCCGCGATATACGTGCGGTCAGCGCCAACAAATGTCCCTGCTGCTGTCTTAGTCAAGTAGACAACTGTCAGGGTGCGGATACTGGAATTGCGACGGTCGATAGCAATTGTAATGGATGTGATAAACGTCTTAAATGTACTTTATTTTTCATAACTGGAAAGTAACAATTCTTGTTTTCCCAATTGCAGAATAGTTTAAAGAAAAGGCGATCCACTATGATCAAAACTGATGCCTTTAAAGCCTTCACTGCGCGTGCGCGGTGGCAGGTAATCTAAAAATAATCATCTTGGAATATCGTGAGTTGTTTATGACAACTGATTTATTTTAATAATTTGATTATTCTTTGAATTAGAAATCTTTAAACAAAGTCATTGCAATCAGTCGGTTGGCTCTTTTGGGTAAAAAGAATAGTCCAATACAGGTATGGRTACGCTTTAGATGTGTAACTGTGAGTACTGTTGTAATATGAATATAGTATAAGGCACTTAACGATTCAAAGGGGTATGTTAAAAAGATTATAATAAGTCGTACCGTAGTACGTAGGGCCGCGAACATTTCAATGTCGTTAACCAAAAATCCTTATAACTCTATTCTCTGTTTGTACCTGGTGCACGGTCGTGTCCTTTCTGAAAAAAAATCATAATTCTGCAGGCATGTCAAGCTTCTATTCTTTCTATGTTCATTGGTTCATCCATCCTAATCTGTTTCTTGTTTCTGAAGTAATATAGCAACTTGATCTCATATCCATTTGCATGATTTTGCATTGCGTCACATTCTGAAAGAGTATGACGTCGTTYACATACATAAAGAGTGACGCAATTTACAAATGACGTCATTCAATCTCAATKTGATTTCGAYTGCATGCAGCGGCTGTCAAATACACAATCAACTCACTAGCAATCCCACCATTTCCTAACCTACCATTTTATATAATATTTCCTGGACTAATACCACAATACCACAATAACCCAACTAACACTAATCTCTAACCATTTATAGCGGCAAACCTCATCCGATGAATCCACAAAACCAGTASCGAATATTGAAACCAATCAAGACGATAATAATGACGGCAAAGATAACAAAACTGATGATTTTGCAAAACTCGAAGAAAAGTTGAAGAACATTGAAGTAAAGAGCGATAGAGAGGAGGAGAAAGCTACTAGTGACAGTATTGTGAAGGAACAACTCGTAACTGAGAAGGAGACTTTGGTTGAAGATTTAAATAGTAGCGATTCTAGTTTTGGAGTTTTGAAAAAGACGACTGATGAAAAAAATCGGCTGAATTCTTCCGAAAATGGCCGAGAAATCTTAAAGACCAACACAACGTGCGTGTCGAAAGATGAAGCTAAAACACTTCCAGAGACCAAAAAAGCAGATGAACAAGTTAAACCAGATATATTGGTAAAAASCAATACTGAAGGCTCTCTTCCAACGGTTACTAGAACCGAGRAGAATTCCAATAGATTTGAAAGTTTGACCGGTTCAAAGATTGCAAGCGAAAATGGTAAAGCCTCACRAACAGTGCCTGAAATCGGAGAGAGAAGAGCGAGCGGCGAGARCTCAAGACATCGTCAACAGTTAGAAARTGCCAATGAACAGCATGTSCGTAGAAGAGRATCCAAAGAGGAAGGCAAACATCAACAAGAGATTGCTGTTAATACCACAAATGAGGGCACGGGTAAAAAGCACTTAGAGGACACAGCATGGTTGAGAAAGCAAAAACCATTTTATTTGAATAAAGATAGAAAGGAAGCTTCTAAAGTCAAAAAAGGTTTCACATCWACTAAAGCTGAAATACTAAAGTGGGAGAAGAAAAGCAGTAGCGAATCAACAACGGMACGGCTTCTGACGTCACGCGGAAATGTCAAAAAGGAGGAACAACGGCTTTCTTTACCAGGAATTCCCAAGACAGAACTGAAAAAACCACAGGATTCCCGTCATGAGAGACACTCCATTGGTGTAGTACGAGAACCGGAAAGAGAAAGAAGAGTTTATACAACAACCATGAGAATTGCACCCGAAAAGGAAGACATTGATTCAAAACGAAACTTAATTACAAATCTAAATACCTCAAGACAACTTAAAGATGAGACTATTGGTGAAGTAACAAGACATCATGATCAAGACATAAAAACTACGATAGATACAGGAACTGATTGTGCTAATAACACAAAGARAAGTAGCTTAACCCGTATACAAGGTTCGACTGTACATAAACAAGACGATGCAGCTATCATTGACAAGGAACATACTTTTGTAATACGTACAAGTTTACATTCCCAGGATGACTCCGAMTCCGATGTTGAATCTGAAGTTGATAAGGAGGAAGACAACACCGCCAAGGAGCAAAATGGAACAACCCATTCTGGAAAAAAAGTCAGCCTGGCATTTGTCAATTATGAACCTGGAAAAAAAGAAATGGAAGCATTTCCACAATTATCACTTACCCTACAAAAATCACCCACGTCACCTGATGCCAAGGAGGACGATTTCGTGTGGGTAGTTACGACGGAGAAGAACAAACGACGCGATTTCCTCACTCGTGTTTTGGCTCCAAAAGTAAAAGCAGCTAAAAATTCACAATTTGAAGGGGATGTCTTCGAAAAACGACGAATTCGACATAAGCCAATAGGTGAGAAGGGTCCACCGAAAGTTCGCACACGAAGCTCGTCTTCTCCAAGTGTTTCATCGAGTGTGCCTGAGGTTCGAATCAAACATCATAGTGTTGCAACTGCGCCGATGRTGACACACGAYGGAAAGAATGTCCCAACCGTTCAGTTAAGTTCTGATATGCCTGCACTTAGTTTTAAGATCCAAATGGGGGAGATAAAACTAGCGGATCCTTAGCCCCYTGCTATCCCTAGATGATATTTTATATCTCACTGATGCAAGCTATAACGATGAAGATCAACAAGGAAAGAATGGAAAATTCGCGTGTCTTCCTGTCTATTTTGCGTCGACCATCCAGAAAAAAAGCAGAATGGTCCGAAACTGAACATGGACGTTATAAACYACATGTAYCAAATAAACAAATTAAGAAATGCTAAATAATTGGGGAATAAAAATATAAGCTATTTAGACTGCACATACTTGTCACCATGAGGCGTGATGATATGACAAGCTTACCTTCTCTCTGACAATGTAAATTACAGTATATTCTGGCTATATATAATAAAATCTATTTGAAAATATAAGTGAATGAAGTGAATTATAATAATCAACCAATTAAAGCAAGCTGTGTAATTATGTGTAAGTATTATGTGGTATTTTGTGAATATAGAGTGCAAACATTAAATGTGTGCAACGCTTTCCACTATTTACTAGTGTTAATTAAAAAATAGAAAGCAATAGATTTATCAGTATTTAGTGGTATTTATGTTGCACAGTTTTAGTATTTGTATTCTAACTTGTCCGCTGTAATAATAAATTAAAAAACACCCGAAAGCTTCAACGAAGCGCGCGTTCATTGCCGAATTATGATATTATCAGTGCTTTGTTTTTCATTATAGATTCGTTCCCTGTATTGACTGATAACCATTGACATGGTCAGTCAAAGACTAACTTTAATTTCATCATCATATGCGCATGCTCAGTACTAATGTCATTTCTAAGTCTATCCCACATGGCTCAGTGTGCTTTCAGTGTGTGATAACATTCGTTCTACCCATTAGAATCGATCTGTGTATATTAAAAACGACTTTGTTTTATACATATAATACTTGAAAATTCCAGTTTAAYTTTTTCAACTGATTGTTAGGAAAAATAATTTACTTTGACATTTGTATTGTTCCTGTGAAAAGACTTAATTTTTTCAACTTTCTTCAGGTTAATGAGCTAGTACTAGACGATTCAGAGTGTTCAGAAGAGGTTTTCGAAGAAAGTGAAGTCGATGTTGAWAACTGCGAAGTGGAAATCATATCAGAGAGCCTCAAGAACAAAGAAGCTCTTGAAATTCGAAAAAAATCGATTAAAGTTTCGGAATTTAAGCTACTTCATCGGATTGAAGAAGAGGGKTGGAACAAAGACCATCAAGTTAAGGAGAACGATCTCRAACAATTCAAGGAATCCGAGCACGAAGATCTTGAAGATTATGATATCGAACAARCTGTAGAGACTGAACGCAATTTACTTGTGGAACCCGACCACGAAGGGAAGAATRATATTGTTCACAAAGAGAATGGAATATTTAGTAGTGATAAAACGAATCTGTCAGAAAAAARCACGAAGCGTRAAGATTTTGTGTCAGTCACACAAGGAGTAATGAAGAGAGAAGAAGTGGATCACAATTCTAACCAAATGATCGACCGTGAGAGGGAAATACAAGACAAGTCTTATTTGGAATATAAACAAGTRGTTWTGATGMTTGAAGATCATCTTATYACGCCTTTTGATTCTGAAGTTCCTTTAATACCTTATAAGGAGACTAGTGTATGACGTACGATGACGTCATTAGTTGGATGTGCGCAACAAAGTGGGTGATTTTGTAAACACTTGTCTTCATTCTAGGTTGGGCTCTTGTTTGCGATTCAGTGGTCAGTGTATAAAAATAAGAGTATTTTTTCATACCAATTCAATCAGGAAAAGGCAAATATCATTCATGATTTGGATGTGGTCATACTGAATACTATGAGTCCCCTTTTAGTATGCTTTGGATTCAGCCATCGAATATATTTCAATTACTTCTTAATCCGCTTTGTTGGATATTTTGCCAAATTTTGGATAGATTCACTGGAGATTATTGTCACCAGGTCACATGAGCAGCATATAAATGGAKTAAGGRGGCTCCACTGTTTTTTTCCAGTACGCCCTCCTCTTGAACCCTCCCAATCCCTTCAAAAAAGACTCCATGTACTGTCACAAAGTCATCATTTCTCAACTTGAAGATGATATTTATGATATGTGTGAAAAAAAAAACGTGAAAAGTCAAGAAAAATGTAAATAGTTATTTATGATTCAAAAATGAAAATTATTTGAGATGATTGATTTGTATTTATGAATTATTAGAGATAAATAGTGATTGACATCGAAATATATTTAAAAGTTATCAGTYGTAGAGAATTGATTTATAATTTTAAAATGTTTTATTTGAAAATAGAAGCAGTACAATTTTTTATGATTTAGTTAGATACTGATTATAAACATTCTTTACTGCATGTAGTTATATTATATTTGTATCAATAAAAGTTCATCAAAAATTAATCTTTTTTGGTTTTACAATTGATTGTATCTTCCCCTTTTGAAAACTACTGGCGGACAGTTTTTTGTCTTCAGAGATTTTCTGACTTTGTTGTGCGTTGCTGTGACTC